GTCGATAACCTATAACCCACTAGATTCCGAGCAAAAAGCGTTTAATCACTTCGTGGGGTTCCCTCGTAAGTGAAATTATATTTTACTTGACAGGTAAATCTGAATTACTTAAACGAGTAGCAATTTATGCCGGTATAACAATGGCTACCCAACCATTAGCTGCCGGTGAACTTAATCGACCATATGTTGATGAAACAGAGAAACTTCTTGTTGATATTATGTATCGCGCTAATGCCATTCCATTTTTGATCTGTGCGATGACCATAGATGAAATTGATGGTCTTGTACCAAAACGTGATAATAATGCGCAACAAGGAAAAGTTGATGGCATTAGTGTATTACTTTCACATATTGAGGGTGTGAAAAATATTCGAACTTTAATTGTATTTGGTGCTACAAATCGTCGAAATATGATGGATGAAGCATTTCTTCGACGAACGCAGGCGAAAGTATTTGTCGGTCGTCCATCACCAGCCATACGAAATAATATGTTAACACCATTAGTTTGTAAAGATTCACGTCTATTTACACCAAAACATCTTGATTCGTTAGTTAAAATCACAACAAATTTTAGCGGTGCTGCCATCAGTGCGTTGAGATCAAATTTAATTATTGAAATGGATGGAAATCCCCATATAACAGATCATCGTCTATTAGAATTAGCTGATAGTGTATCTCGCGAATTTAATGTTTGGTTTGGTATTAGTACATTACCTGAAATATGTCGACTAAATCCAACTATAATCAATTCGACACATCATGAAGACAGTTATTCATTAGAATTTGAAAAATTAATTCGTACAGGACGGATATTAATTGATTATACTGAGCGTAAATGTTTGATTGAAATGAAAAACGAAGCAACATTAGAAAAAGATGAAACATCTGTAGCAGGCAGTTTTTCTTGCTTTTTTTTTCATTTTCTTGCTATTTTGTTGATCGGTACCATTGTTACTGTTTTAACTGAATACGTAGGGAAGGTTGTTTTTGTATTCATTCATGTTATGAATCCTATAAAAAAAGATTTTATTTGAAATCTTTGAACTTTTATCAAAATTTCATTTATTACAGTCGGTGAAATAAAATCCAAAATAGATTGAACAATTTGAAATCATCTAAAAGATATCAATTCTGATGGAAAAACCATTTAAATAAACATCTTTTCTCAATCCCTGCCATATCCCAGCTTTTCTTGTGGCATTTTTACGCACTGTTGAAAAGACTTTTGCGAAAATATCCATGTTTGTGCAAGATTTTTAGTANATTTTTAGTAGCTGCTTTTTATTGAACATACATGATTAGGTACATTAACAGTGATAAGAGCAGAAAACAACACAAGAAAAGATAAAAACAAATGTCTTTATTGAAAGACTACAGAGAGTGACCGCATTGAAAATTGTCCGAATCTCCAGCTGCCATCAACAAACACTGAACCTGATACTAGTGGCGGACGTATGATGTGACAGTATGGCAACAGCGACCAGCGGCGAATAGAGCAGCGAAAGATGAGGTCTGAATCGATTGCTAGAATAAAACAATTGTGTCGACAAACAACAAAAACAATAAAAGAGCACGCTGTTCAGTTTAGTATTGTAACTGGATTTCTCTTCAGTGGCAAATAGTAGTTTCACCACCACCGCCGCCGCCAGTATCAGGTTCAGTGTTTGTTGATGGCAGCTGGAGATTCGGACAATTTTCAATGCGGTCACTCTCTGTAGTCTTTCAATAAAGACATTTGTTTTTATCTTTTCTTGTGCTGTTTTCTTCTCTTATCACTGTTAATGTACCTAATCATGTATGTTCAATAAAAAGCAGCTACTAAAAATCTTGCACAAACATGGATATTTTCGCAAAAGTCTTTTCAACAGTGCGTAAAAATGCCACAAGAAAAGCTGGGATATGGCAGTTTAAAGAGGCTGAAATTGGAATAGCTGGACGGAAAAGCCAAAAGAATGGGATAAAGAAAACGTAATCCCAAAGGCGACATTCGTATCTTCCAGTCTTTTTTACCTTAATGTTTCCTCTCCGGAAAACTCTACAACCTAGGTTACACATTATTTGTTGAAGATCAACTGTACTAACAATTCTAATATGATACTGACAAGATTTATTTTTTTGGATAGCCATACCATGGGGTAAAAAATCCAAAATAGCAAAAAAATACAATACCTAAAACAGTCGCTGCTTTCAGTTTTTACCATCCAGCCCACGAGCACAGACACTCTCAACAATGCCTTATACATGGTTTGGCTCTGACAAGCAATAGAGTTCGAAGGGTTCTATCGAATGATATATCACATGATTTTCTGCCATTTGTTCTAACATTAGAAAAATTTACTTTGTCCACTGACGTGTCTCTAATTAGTGCTAATCAGCACTAATTAGTAATTAAAAAACGGTCAGAGATATTGTTTTTAAACTTTTTTTGTATGGAATTATATCTACAAACAACTCGCTATAAAACTACACTACTGAATTGAATGCAACATTGTACCGAATTGAATGTAACATTTATATCTAAAACTACAAAAGGTTTTAAAGGATGCCTCTCAAACTAAAAGTTTCAATTAATTTTGAACTTAACTAATTAATAATTCTGTCAATACTTGACCAACGAGTTATTTATTGCATAGGCATACTACCAAAGGTGTTCTCTACAAATTGACAAAGTTTGAGGGCATGTTTGGGGGGAGGAAACCTCATCCTTAAGTCAGACTTAAGTTGTTTAATAAACCATAGTAAAACTCTTAGACACTTCTCAAAATTATCTTACTACGATCTTATAAGATCTTATTCTTTAAGATTTTGATAAGATAGTCTAAGATCTTGTCGTTTAAGATCTTAATAAGATTTAATGGCTCTACTTTCATTCACCCCTTTGTTTTGCTCGCATTCATCTATATAACTAACACCGAAAATATGAGTGATTTTACGGTTATTTTCTTTCAGACTCTGCTAGTACTTGCTCTCTCGAAAGTGTTCACAGCTTTTTAGAAAGTTTACAAGCGGGTCAAGATCCATAGTTGCACACTCGAAAATATGAAATTTCTCTTCATTCTTCAACACTGTTCAAGTGTTGCTTTGGATAAATGCGGATTAAAAATTGAAAAATTTTCAGCGTATCTCTAATGAATATTGTTTAAAAAACGTCGTCGTCGTTACTATTAAGATTCTTATCCAATCCTAAAAAAATCTTAGACAGTATAATCTTAGTAAGATTTTAGTAAGATTTCGCTTATGTTTGTCTAAAATCTTAGAAAAATCATAGCATTTTTGCGTCTCACGATTGTAGTAAGATTCGTTTAAGATCTTAGAGAAATATGAGCGAAATCTTACTAAGAACTTAGTAAGATTCGAGGAAGTTTTTCACTAGAGAAAGCGGCTCCAGGGCTACAGAACACTAACAAAAACTTTCCTGGCCGTTCTTCCTTCATCATAAAAATCTAGTTCTCACCTAGATCGATAGAGAAATGTGCGAAAAATATTTATTATGGAAAAGGAAGAAAAGACTTTTGCTCTTTCCTCTGTTAATAACCAATTAGTGCTAATTAACGTTAATTTGGTCTAATAACTTAATTTCGAGTAAAAATGCAATGTATCATTTTTTGCCACACTTTAAGTTTTCACCACTTTGCATTCATCACATGTGATGACAAAAAGGTTCAGATTACTGTAGTTACGAGTATAAGCATAGCTGATCCGTGCAAAGAAGTAACTCAAGTAAAACCGAGAATCAAGAAAAAAGGAATTTTCTAACACTAAGATGCGGCGATATCTTAGCTATCGACTAATCTGCTAATTAGTAACTTTTTTGGAAAGCAAAAACAGGATTTTGTAGTGCTTGAAAATCTCTATCAAATGATAGAAGCACTTTTTGACATTGGGACTCATCTCCTTTTTCAAACACCAAGAAAGAACGTTATCTATCTCTTTTTGTACAGACTTCCCTATGAATGGAGGCAGATCAGTGCGAGAAAAGTGTAAAACAACATATAGGTCGTCTGCAAACAGGCTATATACAGCTACCGAGGAAGGAACAGATATAAGATCATTTATAAAAATCAGAAATAAAATAGGGCCAAGTATCGAACCTTGGGGCACTCCAGAGGTCACATGAATTAGGCCTGAAAGAACATTGTCGATCTTAACAAACTGAAATCTATCACCTCTATAGGAGGTAAACCATTTATGCAGTTGACCATTTATTTCAGTTAAAAATATGCGCATATTCCTGAGAATTCAAGCAATTGGTATAACAACAGCATGTATACTCTCTCCTGGAACTGGAGAGGGATACCTATAAGTTTGTTACCTTTTTGTTATGATCTGCCATTCCTGGTAGCTCATAAGACTGTGTTTTCTTCTTCTTTTCCTTTCTTTCTGTTATTGCGCAACTCTTGCTTCATAATGGGATTTTCCTAAACTATTTCTGTTCTTATGTAACTCATGCGCAACTCTTGCATAACTGTTGTTCAACTTGTGTACTATATATAGCCGTTCACTTTCTTAAATAAAAATGAGAAGTGAGTGAGTAGAACCTCACACTTTTTAATCTGAGAAGTTGCCAGAATATACACTAATTTCATAGCTAGTACAATCTTTCTTTTAGATAAAACGATATAGTTTATTCTTTTCTCCATCTCTTGTTTTATATCTCACTCTATAGATTTAAATTTTAAGATTAGTTCAGTTAATGTTTTATCTTCCGTGAGATAATCAATGGAGACAGGGGATCTTGATGATGATTGATTATTACTCGTAGGTCGTCGGTTGTCTTCTCGCCGTTGCACACTGCTACAGCTCGTCACTGGCGGCCATAAATGTGAACGACTCGAAGATGATTGGCGTTGCATACTTGTATTATGTTGAGCTTGATTGAGGACTACATGTTGGTCATGCAAAGCAACGTGTATTCTTTAATCAATTTTTCAATATTGTACATCAGTTAATCCATCATACAAAACTACAGAACAGTCACAATTACAACAACACGAAACACATCATCAACCGCAAAGTGAGGTATCCGATGTTAATGATGCCAATGATAAACCGGCTGGATCTACAACGTTAAACAGCAATGTTGCAATATTAGCTTCTACATCTTCATCTTCAGTTACTAATGATCAACAAGCACTTCAACAACAAAAAGTTAAAACGAAATCTATTCGAACAGCATCACAAAACAATGCTAGAAATAAAATAAGACATAGAAAACTAAAAGAAAAATTGATAAAAAATACAATAACAAGACCAATTTGTAACCATCGGCCCATGACATTGATTAAACAAGTGTTACATCATCAGCAGATACCACGTGGAAAAACACCATATCCACAGCATGGTGAATTACCCTTGAGATTTAAAACGGCCGAACAAGCCACAACCGCAAATGTTGATTTACCACAAGGTGCATTCAATGAAGAAAAATTACAGTACTGGGCTCCTATATAGGTGGTAGATTCCAGTGTGTTAAGATCGACAATGTTCTTTCAGACCTAATTCATGTGGCCTCTGGAGTGTCCCAAGGTTTGATACTTGGCCCTATTTTATTCCTGATTTTTATAAATGATCTTACGTCTGTTCCTTCCTTGGTAGCTGTATATAGCCTGTTTGCAGACGACCTATATTGTTGTTAATTTAAAAAAGAATATTCTAATCAAATTATTGGCTCTTAGTCGTTTTAATACGTGCTGTCTTTCTTTTCCTTTGTTTCTTATCGAGAGCGTACACTACACAGATATAATAACTAATTAAACGTTTTTTCACAGCCACTCAAGCGACGTTACCTCTGTATTCTCCTCCAACAGTTCGTTTTCCGTCGGGTTTGGTTTAAGTCTTAAAGTCTTAACCGTTTTTCTGTTTGTTTCTCCCAGATTTTTGTAAGCAATATCAACGACACCACCACAAAACCTTCTTCAGCTTTTCGTTTCGAATTGTATATCAAGCTGAAGTTGAAAATCAGTTGAGGTCGGGGAGTGCCGGCGGACAAGTTGCTTAGCTGGAGAAAAAGATTATAGTTGAAAGGCATAAATGGCAACACATAGCTCTAGTCTGTTCAACTTCACCGAAGGCTTATCTGAACGGAAACAAAATTTGGGAGGAAATACAACTGACTGAACAGCAAAGACCATCGTTTGAATCAGTGGAAATAAATTGTACTGCCAAACATTTCAGTTTGGTAGATGTCTGTGTATTCTCAAGAGAACTCAGTCCTCTTGAAATTCGTACAATTCAACATTAAAGAACGTCAATTGACAAGATGAATGTTGTAAAATATAGTTTACACAAATATATTTACGAAGAGATGAGTATATAGGAAATGCGCGTTTTTTTTGCTAGACGAAAGAAAACAGCTTCGGTTTTCAGCCAGAGTCCACTGTGCTTTGTCAAAACTGACGCAATCTGCGACCGACCACTCCGAGATCAACCTGAAGTTGACTGATGTTCCAAAGACGGCGAGATCTCGTTTCTGTCTCAGACGATAAGCGGTCCTTATAGATTGTCTCAGAAACTGCATTGGTCCTTGCGTGGTTTGTGCATTACCGGCGTTTTTTTTCTTATTTAGAATAAAAGTTCATCATCGTCATCAGTTGGAGCAGCAGAAAGATCAGTTGATAATGGAGAAAAAGTAAGTTTTTCTTCTTCATTACAAAAAAGGGTGTTTTTCCTTTCTTTGTTTACTAGAGTGGTTTCCAGTAACACATCTAATTTCTGGCGATATCAACTTCTGATGGTTTTTTTCTAGAGTCGCGGTCTTTGAGATTTTTACATATTTGTAATCAGTGCGACGAATTACGCTGTACGGCGTAAAAATTTCGTCTGCGTCCTGACCCTTTTTGAACCCGAATTCTATACTGTGAGTTTTCACAGTATATTACACTATATTCAACCGTAGACACCAAGGATGCCGCTTTTTTCCCGTTCTCTTTTATATTTCACTTTTTTCTGCTTTGATGTTTTTTTCGTTCTATAGAGCGAGATATAAAACAAGAAATGGAGAAAAGTATAAACTGTATCGTTTTATCTAAAAGAAAGATTGTACTAGCTATGAAATTAGTGTATATTCTGGCAACTTCCCAGATTAAAAAGGTAACAAACTTGTAGGTATCCCTCTCCAGTTTTTCTGGCAGATTGCTGTACACAACTTGTACACTATATCATGCTATTCTTTAGAAAAAGGTACCGTTTAGTTCTTGAGTTATACGGCTGCCACTGTTACACCTGAACGTATGAAAAAGTAAAATGAACATCACTACACGACTCAGCATGTTCAATTATCCCTATCTTGACCCATCTTAGGGTGATTCCAGGTCAACTGAGCGAAATCAGGGCTCTCGGAAAAATGCTTATAGCTCCTGAACGGAAGAAACTTGAGCCTTGCGTAGTTTTGTAGAGAACAGTATGGCACCTCGCAACCACGAAGAAGAATCAAAATCTCTAACTCGCTGGAGGATATTTATTTAAAGACCTATTGGAAGTCCCTCAAAGATCTTGGCAAGTCCGATGATTACTTAATGCCTGGACGCCCCCAGCTGTTGTCAATTCGATAGCGAAGACTCGAGCTCGCTAGCTAGTAACGTTCCTGAGTTATTCGAAAGCAGCGGTGTTCATTCTTTTTTGAAATGGATAGTAGTTCTTTTTCAGAAATATTGGGGAGGAGACGAAAAATGATCTTATGCGCCTCCCCTTTTGTTCTCTATGCTTTTTTAAAGTCCAGATTTTGCTCTTTTCAACTAAAAAATAATTAACTGTTCAGCACATTGCCAACAGGCAGAAATAACATTAGACATTTAATGTAAGACTTTTGCACCACGCGTTAGATTAAAATAGGTTATTTTTGATTTTGTGGTGAATATCGCCATATACAGGAAGAAAATGTCTTTGCTTGGCTATTCTTTGTAAAAATGTACAAATTGATTATCAATTGTTTTCCAATCAATAATAAGCGAAATGTGTGTAAATATACATATCCATATAAGAAAAAAAAAAATCAGTTTTCTATTTCTTCGTAAGGATGAACCGATTTATTATCTATCGTTGGCGGTCGATTGTTGTGACGAGGACCCACTATTGGTGAGTAATCAGTGAATGAATCATCACGATACGTTGCGGGTACAACTTGAACGGTGGCAATATCATTGTTTCTGGTATCGTGAACTGATGGTGGAACGGAGGACTTCCTTAAGCGATAAACACAAAAGTACATCAAAATGCCGATAAGTATAATAGTAGCACCAGCTAAACTACCAATTATAGATCCAACAATGATCCCCGTATTATTTTTGATCGGGTCTGGTGCGTCTGGCTGTGGTCGTCCTGTTGATGGCACTAGAGTAAAATATAAAAACTAAAAAAGGATTGTTCTACTAAAAACAGCTTCTCTGAGCTAGCTCTTTTCTGTAAAGCGATGTATTATATGAAAAATCTTCTTCTGTTATACAATGATTTCATTTGATGAGCATCACTGAAAATTCTCGTTGCTGTATTTAAAATGTTGGCTCTTCACGTTCACTGGTGTGTAAGTATGAAGTTACTAAAAAACCATCAAGTTTAAGCTGATGTTATGTAGCTTCATTCTCCTTTTGCCGATCACGCTATACTGGAAAACATACGTGTATTGGGCATCAAATTGTGTGTTGGTGTTGGTGGTGGCATTGTACCTGTAACGGAGAAAGTTCTTTATTTATATCGATATTCACTCATTCCTTTACACAGGTAAAAGAAAGAACTTTTTGTTTTTCTTGCTGATACCAGTTCTGTTGACTACGAATAAATATTAATCAAATTGTAATTTAGTTTACTCTGCGTGTAAAATATTTTTTTTGTCGTTTCTTTTCTAAAAAAATGTGTTGAAATGTATATTCTATTGCCCTAATAAGTAAAAATTCTGTTTCAAAGAACCCTAAGAACAAAGTATTTAACATGATTCGGTCCCGACTGGTCGAGAAATTCATATATTAAATGCAATAAAATATAACTCCTAATTGTTATGCGAATATGATACAGTGAGATCACTACGCATTTATTGCTAATCACGAAAAAAAATTAATTAATTAAACAGTGCAAGATATATAAATACGTTTCGTTTTCTGAATCTTATTGCAACAGAAAATTATTGAGTATCATTCAAAACTTCATGCATCAGCTAAAAAATATTTAGCAGTTGTCGAAACAGAGAGAGATAAGACTTGTTTGTTATTTTTAGGATATCGTTATTTAAAGACAAAGTGCGAAGCGAAAACACGTACTGGCCTTGTGAAAATCCTTCAACCTGCAATGGGCGTGCTGTTCAAATGGGAGCTGAAGTCCCAGTTGTTTCAACATCGCATAATCATGAAGTGAATGTAGAGCGGAATGAACGAGAGGAATTCCGTACAAGTTTGAAACAGCGTATTCGAGAAGAACCAGTATCAGAAGAAGCAGTTGGGAAATTGTTTCATTCGGAAGATTCAAAGAACAAGTCCAGATAGTGTGTCTACATTACCATAATTTGATTCAATTAAGAATTACTTATATGATACGGGGAATGAAGAATATCCACCGTTACTTGAATCAATTAACGACGTAGACCTCGAGGGTAAGATACCTGATGATCCCAGAAACTCTGACTAAATTAACGTTTAAATGGTAGATTCATGGCTATTAACACTCAACAACGAAGATGTTTTAGTAAACGATAAAAGTAGTTCTTGTTATTTATGTTTTGGAACGACGTATTCATTAAAATTATTATGTGATTCTGAACATATATTTATTGATGGTACATTCAAATCTTGTGCAGGGCTATTTGTACAGGTATATTCCATTTAGAAAAGACCCTAGCAACCAGACGACGCCCAAATCTGCTGGATGGGGATTGTTCTGTAAAGTCTTGCAAGTCGCCTATTTGCTAAATTTATTTCATGGGATTTTGAGGAAAGTCCGAAGAATTTCACTCACAAAGCCACTGCTAAGCTCGATTAAACTCAGAGTTGCACCGTTGCCCAGCGTCTTTGAAACAGGATTTATATTCTCTTAATTTAATCTCATATTCTGACTCGACATTGCTTTTTCTTATAGCAATAGCTTTGAACGGTGTATACGGAAATATTAATACTTCTTTCTCGTGCGGATATTTTGATACACTTCCGATGCCCAAATGAGTGCGGTCTTAACGCAGACTGACGACACAGGACCCTTACAATGTACGTTCGTGGATCAGCCCAGCAGTCTACGGCCATTCCACGTAAAAGTCCACTTTTACGTAAGTCCGTGACGTTTTGTGAGATAGATAACTCTTCAGTCGAGCAACGTACAGGATTGGGAAACGTCTTATTTTGTAGCTTAAAGATTTTTTTTTCAAATGGTAATTAAGCAAAGTCTACCAGTCGATTAGTTTTAGTAACATAATGTTTTAGCTACAAGTCACTTTTGTACAAAGTGGCTTTTTTTGGCACGAATTAGGAGCAGGTCCTTAGGGTAGAGCTAGACTTTGCTTAATTACCATTTGAAAGAAAAATCTTTAAGCTACAAAATAAGGCGTTCTCCAACTGTGTATGTTGCTCTGCTGAAGAGCTATGACTTTCACAAAACGTAACGGACTTACGTTTTTCGGCTGGTACGCGTGGAATGGCCGTCTACTTCCCTTTTAGCTAATTCAATGTTTAGTTGTTTGTAATAATCAGTCTCTGCTGTGTACGCTTTAATTAATGGAACTGGTCCATCCTCTTCTACACCTTTGTTGAAAAAACATTTTATTTGTTCGTAATGCAATCCAATAATCTGTAAAGTAAAAGCATGACCTGCTTCTTTTTCTAGAAATGCTTTGAGCTAGAAGCACATCTATGCTTCTAGTCATTACCCGTGACCACTACAAGGCCACTACACGACCACTACAAAGTCACTACTGTGGTGAAAAAAGTGTAGTGTAGGGTAGTATTGCTTTTTCCTGCTTGGAGGTCTCCCACTCGGTTTTTCCTATCAGTTTGTAGAGGACACTTTGAAGTATATTTTTCAATACTCTTTTCGGGTACCGAACCTGTAGTTTTTGAGAAAATAATTTTTTTATTTTAGTCTCGGTTTTTTGCTCCATTTTTAAAAGTTTAGAATTTCAGATTTGTATATATAACCTCAGTTTTGATGTCAGTCGATAGAGGACATCAAGATGTATCTACAAGAAAATTCGGTGAAGCTTTCAGTCAAATTTTGCCTGAGTTATTCCGCTAGCATTTCCGATGGCACTTTGGAGCAAGAAGTATTTTTAAAAACATCTTGAACCAAATTTCGCTCGGATGAAGCATTTTCAGGGAAAAGTGCCGGTACGACAGTTGTTCAGAATCAGATTCCCTGGTATGTGAACAAAGAATTTTTCAAAATTCATTAAATTCGAATTTTAAAAGTTAGGAAAATTTAATTTTGAAGTCCAGTTTAACGAATATTTCAAAATCGTTCGTTCATATCCCGGGGGATCTGATTCTGAACAACTTTCGTACTCGCATTTTTCCTTGAAAATGCTTCCTCCGAGCGAAATTTGGTTCAAGGTGTTGTGAAAATATTTTCACTTAGCTAATAATTAGAGAAATTTTTTAGTTTTGAATTTTTTTGTTAAATTTTCTCGGTTTGTAGACGACACTTCGAAGTATATGTTCTACAGGTTTTTCGGCTTACTGACATTGTTTGGCTTAGAAAAAAATTAATTACTTACAAAAATGTTGTTAAATGAATACGGGGCTGTTATTAAAAGATTCTAATGAATGAATTGAATTCCAAAACTCATAAGCTAGTCAGTCGTGTAGCCCGTGAAATTCTCTATCAGATGAGGTATTGCTTAAATGCTTTTGTTGAGTCCTCATTTTGCAAATGGGAGCGACGAACATTATCGCCAAAAAATTATAATCAAACCGACGCTTGGTCATTTTAATTGGCTGAGAAAGAAAAAATTTCGAGATCCGATTGATCAAATAAAACGTTTTTTCTAGTACGTGTAGAGATCTTCGGTCATTACTAACATAATGTTGATTCAATATATCTCGTGTTTGTTGAATGAACTTGTTTTAGGCCTTTTTGTGCTTTCTTTAACCTCAGCTTTTATGAGGTTGCTCAAAGATTTCTTTCTTCAGTAAGAGAGCAAAAAAACGTCTTTGTTTTTTTTCTAGTAGTTGGTGTATCTTTACAGCCCGTCGCCTTTCTCTGCTAAATTAAATTGGGTGGTCGGTTGCCACCTCCTGTGATATCGGCAAAGAGCTACTAATAGTCTCAAAATGCACATAGTTACACAGCGAAAGAGTATCTTCATTTTTGCATAAATTAATTTCTTCACTTTTCTAAAATAATATCTTTTGATCGTTTTCTCGGAAGATGTAATATTTCTTATTAGTATATCAAGAGTAATGGCAATTACAGATAATAACATTCAACAAAGTGCACAAAATTCATCTGCTAACGAATTCGCAAATATTAGCAAGAATTTTTGAACTTGACTCCGATTTTGTATTGTATTCATTCGGTTGTATCCCAGTTCAGCAAAACACAAAAATGTAACGATCAGAGCAAGTGAGCGACTTAGTTAGTCAAGATGGCACAGCTTTAATAAAAAACGTTAGGGGAAAATATAGAAATCTGCTGCTAACTTCTCTTACGTCAACATTATTTACATCATGGTCCTCGTTATACCTTCTCTAGAAATCGTTTATATTATAAATTACGATTACTGAACGGCGATCCTCTTAGTTTGGTTCTTCTCTCTCTTTATGTACCTCTTGCGAGGGAGTTCTATATATAAGTTACTTGTGGTTAGATCGGTGATAAAATACATAATTGCTATCAAAGGTTTAAATATTAAACTAACCATCTCATTTGTTATGCTCTCTATACTGTTCATACGCTTTTGCTTAACTTCTGTACAACACTGTAAGTTTTAGTGTTTTATTCTTTTCGTTTCTTCGTTACATATGTTTTCTTTCTTTCCCTCTTATTTTTCGTGCTTGTTTTGTACTACATTAGCTTACACCACTTACCATGTCATTTTACTCTTATATTATGGCCTAGGCCGCATCTGTGTAGAATGACTTCTTATTTCTGTTTCTTAAGGGTAGCCCCTCCCGTCTTTTTTTACCTTGTTGCCAATTGCGGAGCACACGTCCAATCGAGCTCAAATTTATATCATAGATAGAACATCGAAAAAGAAAATCGATATACTTTTACCCAGATTTTTTTCTCATGTTCTTCTATGGGTTTTATGGAAAACCACTTTTCATCAGATCACATTGCGGCCCCTCGAAAAAATGATCCGATCGAGCTCAAATTTTTACCACAGAAAATTTTCATCCTGAGATAGGATCCGAAGCATCTTTCCGAAAAATATGCTTTCCTTCTCTAGATATATGAAAAATTCTGAAAATCACGCAAAAAAAAAGTCAGATTTTTCCAGTTCTTTTCACTGACTTTCAGCATTTTTTGTATGTCTCGAGAAGAAAAGTACAGTTTTCGGAAAAAAAATTTGCATCCTGAGATAGGATCCGAAGTCTCCGTGGTAAAAGTTTGAGCTCAATCTGACCATTTTTTCGAGTAGCCGTAATGTGATCTGTGAAAAGTGGAGTTTTCCAGAAAACCCATAGAAGAACGTGTTAGAAAATCCTCGACAAAAATATGTCGGTTTGTCTTTGAATCTGTCTTGTTTGATGTGTTCTATCTCTGTTATAAATTGGAGCTCAATCGGACGGGTGCTCCGCAATTGTGCAACAAGGTAAAAAAAGAGGCGGGGGGAGTATCCTTAAATGTATGAAGTTTAAACTAAACTATATGCAAATCAAAATATCGAGCTATAAACAAAACAATAAGTTTGACTACAAATGAAAACAAGACTTTGCTTCGGATCAAGTTCTTACGTCTGGGAGGTTACTCAATTCATATTTGCACCTGCATCTTTGTAATGATCAAGTTAGAACCTGCAACATCGTCGAGTGTTCGTTTGTGACATAAAAATACAGTTCTTTTTGTTTGTTTGTCTGTTCAGAAATGAACTGTTTCTCAATCGTCTCTTAAAGGGAAACCTGGGAGACTAAAAACTGGATATTCGCAGTAATTTTTCAGCTCAATTGTAATAATAAGAACGGAAAAGATCTTACCTTTCAAAATAGTCTATAGCTTCAATCGCTTTTCATATCGAACAACTACCAGATCAGTAGAAATCTCACAGCTTTCGCCCCCATGCCGGGATACCGGTAGAAATAGATGTTCAATAATTTATTATCGGTTTCTATAAGAAATTTTCAGCGATAAATAGACGCTGACGTTTGCTCTTCGAATGATCTACTTAACAATATTATCGCATCCAGCGTACGTCACACCGTAACATAGTGCCCTCTATTCTATTTAGAGGCTAGTATATAATCTAGTCAATTTTACATATCTAAAGATGATGTCTGACTCTGTCTTAGTTGTCTTCTACATATCTTCAACACAAAAATGTATTAATGTTTATACTGTTATATTATTGGTTAGTCCATAAAGTATACAACGGCCATTGTTTTCATGACTGATAACAGACAAAATCCTGTTGTACAGAGTTATTTTAGATTCAAACATGATTCGACCTATTACTGTTATTGTCGTAATTTTCGTAATCTTTTGCTATGGTGAACATCTGCTGGGTGGGTATACAACATATTCGGAATCGGATCGTGATTATGAACAAGTTAAGAATGAAATAAAAGATTTGGCTACGAAGAGTTTAGCTGAAGGTGAGGATAGTTCATCATCAAGAATAGAAGTAACATCAATATCAAAGCAAATAGTCAATGGCATGAACTATCGTGCAACTATACAACAGTCATCATCATCGAAAAATGAGGATGACGCAAAAAGTTTTACATGTCAGTTTTATCAATCACGACCGGAACTGTAAGTATTGTATTCGTTTGATAGCAAAATGTAATATTGAAAAAGGAAACATTTATAATTAAAAACTTTAGTTTGTTTAATATTGAATTACCATAGCTACAGGATGCTGGATTCAGAATCTACCATAAAGAACTGGGATTAGTATGCTATGAAAAGGTTTGACTTCGTAAGCGTAACAACCAGTGGTCGTGTTTGGGTGATGCTTGGAACTTATTTGTATTACAACTGAGTTACTGACTGCCTATAGTCGTTTTGCTTTGGTTGTTTGAACATGCAGAACTGTACCTAAAAAAAAGGTTGCCAGTCGAAACCTGGACCTGCATGTCGGAGAGGTACGCGGCAGAGCCCTGTACAGGTTTACCACAATGTTTCCTACAGACTTACTCGAATGGCCTGCTCAAATGATTTTTGGCTGCTGAAGTGCAGTGTCAACTCCTTTTCATATTCACTTTTTTGTACTGAATATCCTTTGATGATATGAAACCTATATATTAGAACCAGTTTGATCTGATGATGTGAAGTCACGCATGGACTCCCGTTCTTTCACCTCTCTACCCTGAAAATTGAAAACATTTTGTTTTATCTTTTTTTAGTCTCGATGACGGAACAATAAAAACACAACCATTACAATTTAAGGAATGTCAACCAGTTGAGCAAGCTGATAGTGGTGAGAGTAACAATAACAGCGATGAATCTGATGTATCAGAAGAACAATTAGATTCATCAAATGAAAATTACGGTGGAGATTTCTATTGATTGACTATCATTGAAATATTTGTATTTATTATATATGCACTTTTATTGATAATATTTTATTTATTGTACTTTCTGTGATTCTATTTTTCGCTTATGTAAATAAAACATTAATTAATTAATTTATTTTACAGATCACATTTGATTTTTAAGAGCACTCGATAAGAAGGCAAGCGGTGCACAATAAGTTGAGTTTTTACGACCATTTTCACTAAGAAATTATGAAATTTAATCTCTCCCAGATATTTTCTCGTATTTTTTTAATTATTTCCCAAAATACATTCCTTTCTAGGTTCTTTTTTAACAGTCGATAATATTAACTTGTGTAAAGGGCAAGATAAGATTCTTAATGGACATTATCATTAAGAGAATTCCTTATTTTTCCTTGTCATTCGTTGTACGTTAAGGAAAAAGATAAAAACTGTTGTATACTATTTTTATTCTTTTCTATGTCCTGCATAGTTACATCTTATGCAATATATGTCCTGTTGAAAAAATAAGAAAGAGAAATATTTAATGTGTAAATATATGCATAGATTTTATTTCTACGTGAATGTAACACTTCTGTACAACTACTGAAGAGGGCTGTATAAAATATTTGATCTTTTTTTTTTTACAGTTCTTTACCTTTACGATGTCTAAAACTGATGAAAAATATCAACTCAGCCAGACGAAGAACATTTACCGAAATATATAAAACAAAAATGAAAAACGCGCTCCATATTTTGTACAAATAGGTTGGGGTGTTTTGTTAAAAAACTGTTTGTTCGAATGTGCCACAGATGCTGTACCATCTACCTGCCCTATCATCCCATAACTGCACTCCGATATTTTAAATGTTTTAGGAATATTTTAGTTCCATAACTTTCGTTCTAAAAATTGTCTATCTACTACGTTGACTAAGTTTCTTAAGTTCTTTTATACACACTTAAGAGCCATTGCACGTAAGTCACGACCGACGTTCTTCAATCGATGTTCTCAAAACTTTTCCAAAGTAGGGGGCTTTTGTAGACCAAACATTTTAAGGAATTTTGGTAAAAGGCGCAAATCAAAAAGTTGTATCATTGCTGAGATACTG